GTATGCTATATTCATAACAGTGCTGGAAGTAAGGAGGAAGGTGCTTGTTTGGGAGCACACAGGCAAAGAATAAATAAACTTTTAGGCCAGTAAAGCAGAGCAGATGGGAAGGAATTTTGTGTTTATGTACGAATTCTGCTATGTTGTGTTTGGCAGATAAAAAATAATAATTTCTGCTCTGCATAGAAATAAAGTAAAACCTGTTTTTTAGATTTCAGTGATACTGGGTGACAAAGATCAGTAATTTGGGAGTTTGGTTGCAGCAGAAAATCAAGCACGAAAGAATATGCTAAACTCATTTGCTTGCACAATTGGATCTTAGTTCATAATAGAAGATCTGTGCAAAAGAATGATGTTGTAAGCTCTTTGTGTACCATCGGAATGGTTAAATGTCACACCATCATAAGGCTGAGATGTGGCTAGCCAAGGGAATGTAGCAAATAGTTACCTTTTGACATTTTGGTAAGGCTACTAATGTGTATATTTAACATATGAACATTTCTAAACTTTTGGTTTAAATTAAATATCTGGTTGACTTGCATTTATTCTGTTTTGTGTTTTAGCCCTGGATTTTTGAGGTTTGTAAGAGTTTTGTGCGGCATGTCTTCAGATGAAAGAAAAGCATTCCTACAATTTACAACCGGCTGTTCAACACTTCCCCCAGGAGGTCTGGCTAACTTACATCCCCGTCTCACAGTTGTACGCAAGGTACAAGCATTTCCTAAGTTCTTGCAAACAAAACCTGCCAATATTTCTTAAATGTAGGCATTGTATGAGGTTTTTCCTTTTTAGAGGGTTCATTTTGATTGATCCAGACAGCTGTTTGTATGCCAGAAAGCAACAGTCAAGCCCTTAGTAGATATTTTCATAGACTGTGTTTTTGTTAATAGTTGGGGCCACATGCTGGGCAACCTGCTTGAGCACATAAAGAGTATTTTAACAGAACATGTTCCACACAAGTATTGCAACAGCTTTCACAGCATGCAAGTCACCATGTGTTACAGCTGTGATTATTTGTGACTGAAGCACGCGTTTGCTGATTAGCAAGTGTAAGGGGTTGATTTGTTGTGAATGTTAAATGGAACCATGTTCTACACTCAGTTCTCTTTTTTAAAGTGCATTGTGGGATTTTTTTTTCCACAGGTTGATGCTACAGATGCAAGCTATCCGTCTGTGAATACCTGTGTGCATTACCTTAAGTTGCCTGAGTATTCTTCTGAAGAGATTATGCGAGAGCGCCTGCTAGCTGCTACCATGGAGAAAGGCTTTCACCTCAACTGAACTGATGAATGTGACATGGGATATCAGATTGGTTTTGCATTCATAACTAGTGAAGCCTCTTGTGTTGTATGTGCAGAAAAAAAAAATACAATCTCCACACTGTGCTCTAATGAGACTTGCCTTTTCCCTCCTGCCCATGAGGCTTTGGAAACACATGGAGTAATTTTGTTAGCTGCTAATGATAAAAGAAATCCCAATGAATTACACAGCCAGCAAGAAAAAGGCAAAAATACTGTGTGGATGCTTCCAAGGGCTTGTGCAACCAGAAGCTGAAGCAAATGTTTGACTGTTCCAAAGAGCAGCTCTGCAGATTTTCAGTGTTCACCTACAAGATTTCTAACAGTGTATTTGTGTAAAGTTTAGCAATTAATACCCTGTACCACTACAGTTGCCATCACTGATCCCTGTTTTGCTGGCTTTAAGCTGACTGGTCAGAAACCTGCTTCTTTAACTTAGTCTTTGGGCATCCCAAGCTTCCTTTCCTTTCTTTAACGGTGCCTGCACTATGGGAGTAAGCTAGTGTTTGCGGGGGAGGATAGGTTTGCATATAATCATGCACAAACTTTTATTATTTCAAGTGGGAATAAGTTTTGGTTTCTAAATGCCCTGCTATAAAGATCAAATCCTTAAATGTGTGTACGTGTGCGTGTGTGCAGCTCAACAATAACGCTTTTTAAAGACACTGTTCCCTGGTGCAAGGCACACTTCACAGCAAGTTCTACTTTTGGTTGTACTTTCTTTGTATATTAAAATGTTTATTTAACTTGTTGCAGTTTGAAATTGATAAAAAGGATTTCCAATGTGTATGCTCAACAATAATCATTAAAAAGTTTGCAGCTTACAAAACCTTTTGTTCATGATTTGACTAGTTGCTTTGCCATGTTGTAGGACAGAGTGGTGCTTTCAGTTTTTTTATACTAGATGAAATCTTCAAAATATCTTTCACTTACACAATCCACAGGTAAATTGTACTGTTTCACTACTTACACATTTCAGTAGCAAGCAACAGTACATCACAAATCATTTCATATTTTGGTGGCATCACAGCGTGGGCAAAAGTCAGTAAACTATCAATGCTTGTGCCTTTAAAAGCAATGAGGTAAACTGGCAAAGGCCTGTAACAAGAGGTTTTTGATAAAGAGTTTTCTGCTGGCTGAATGTGCAAGGTGACAATCTTTGCTAATCTCCCCTATACTTAAATCCCTTACGTCAGTGGTCCCCAACCGTTTTGGGACCGTGGACGGGTTGAGGTGCGTGGGCTCCGTGCACAGGGGGGGCACGCCCGTGCTCGCATTGGGACCGTGGACGGGTTGAGGTGCGTGGACTCCGTGCACGGGGGGTATGCCCATGCTCGCGGGGGACGTGTCATCCCTGCGAGCATGACACGCCCACCGTGCGTGCAGGGGGGGGTGGAGATCCATCTCTGCAGCCCCGTTCCAGGAAGCCCATGGACCGGCACCAGGGGCTGGGGACCCCTGCCTCGCGTTACTCATGAATTTGCCCTACTGAGCTTGGGAATCCATCAGCAGAAGAGGAAATCAGCAAAAGCCGATTCAGAGGGACCATTTTGAGCAGGACACTAAATAGAATTGTTCCCATTAAAAGAAAGCTGAATCTCCCTGGATTCTCTTGAAGAGAGAAACGGGGAGAGAATGCCTCCTTGCTTTTACATCTACTGTAAAAAACAATGAAGGAGAAGCAATTACATCCATTGACAGTGTCAAAAGTTTTAAGATCTATCTGTTGAGTCTCAGGAGCCAGTTTTCCCTTCGTTGTTGAATGTAGGTTACAGGGTGCCAGTCTTCAGCTTCAGTGCCTAAGTTTTATAATTTGACCTGTCTGAAATACCTGTGGGTTTATTAGGTTCCACTGAAGTACAAGAATATGTACTCTCCTGAATTAGACTAAAAACCTCTCTATGCCAGCATTTTCTTTGCACAGTGATCAAATGGATGTTTCTGCAGAGATCACAAGCAGTATAAACACATTAGCAAACACTGGTTCCTCTCTTTAGCAACTGTTAGTGAAAGACCTGTGTACTTCTTGCTCCACTATAGCCAACATGACTGGTTGTTGAGGTGAATACAGATGCAGTGCTGAAGGCAGAGAGTGAGCCATCCCCTCACATGTCTGAGGCAGGAGGAAAGGAAAAGGCAGTATCTGATGTGTCACGTGGGGTAGAAAGTCTGTGGATAGATGAGTGACAGAGAAAAAAAGAGGGGCAGAGCTAAAAGAAAGGGGGAGGAAAGTGGATGTTTTTCCTAATAGAGGAATTGAATTTAGGTGTGGGAGATACAAAAAATAGTAGTAGTCTGGGAGGAAAAGAGAAGGGAAGGAGGACCTCAGGTCTTCAAGGTGCCAGGAAAAGAGGAATTAGGAAAAGAAAGAAGCAGCATGGGTGAGAGAAGAGAAAATGCCTCAGGAATGGGAATACAAGTAGGACTGGACCCGTCAGAATGGATTGTTTCACTATTTCACCACGGGCAAGGTCCCTCGAAGAAGGTAATCCGTCTGGAGTCGGGACCATCTGTGCAGTGAGGAGTGCTCCCCTGAGGAAGCCAACCAGCCAGGAACGTTTTGGGCTGGCTCCATGCTGAAGGAATAAAGTTCGAACATTGGACTAACGTCATGGACTGAGTTTCCATTAGAGGTTGGCCATGTTGGTCCCACAGAAGTGGCTGTTTCTCCTTTTTAGCTGTTAATAAAGACTCAGATAAAAGAAATGTAATTCCTATGGTTATTCCCGCCGGAAGAGAGGAACTGCTGGGTCTTTCCACAGAACCTGATCACACTAGTATCTCCCCCCCTTAAATATTTATTTTCTCAGAAAGAAATGGGGGATATGAAATAGCAACTCTTTGCAATGTAATTCATCAGAACCCATCTTCACATGGGAAGGAGTGAATATTCCAGTTGAGATGGTAGAGAGGGTTCTAAACCATCTGGAGACCAAGAATGGGAAGGGGAGCTTAAGGTAATTGAGGGTTACCATTAGAAATTACTCATTATTTAAAAAAATTTAAAAATATAGGCAAGTCTTCCATCAATAAGTGCAACCAGTTAAGAGCTCATTGACAGTATTAACCTTTATAGCTGCCTTGTCTGTGAAACTGATACGCCTTATTTTCAAGATACATGAACTGGTGGAGACATCTTGTGTCAGCAAATGCCAGAGTCCATCTTTAATATCATTTGGTCTACTACTTAGCTTCATTAAAATTGCTTGTTAAAATTCAGAGAAAAACACCTTCAGGTCTACATATGTCAGCTCTTGTGATGAAGTCAGGGGGAAGGCTATTGACCCTCGTATTCTGACCTGATCCTTTATACACCACTGAATGAAGTGGCTATACTGTATACACAGAGCTTCCTTCCCAAGATTGCTGGAGCATCTCTTGGAGAGAGAAGGAACTGCATGCTTCAGTGAACACTGGGACTTCTCTGCTGATGACAAACATCATAACTTTCAGAGGGGTAGCTTTCTCCAGTGTAGCAAAAAGGCACATTTAACACTTAACAAATTTATTATGGCATAAGCTTTGGTGAGCTGCAATGCACTTCATTAGATGCAATGAATATTTCAGATGATAATTCTGCAACTTTGGCACACCTAGCTGTCTGATTTTATATCATAATTTTAAGCATGTGTGACACAATTTTGTAGCCTTTTGCCATCTAGCTACCAGTTCTGATTGTCCCACAGAAAACAAAGACATATATAGTATATAAGATTTTTCTTTCTTTCCTGGATTACAGACAACATGAATCATACAGGATACACGAAATATTTCATTACAGGTAAGTAAATATTTCACAGTGAGAGAATACAGGCTGAGCACTTGTTCACTTCAATGCTCTTTCAGCCTTAAGAAGGGAAATATGTTCAGTTCATTTACAATAGTGTCAGGGATTTGTTGTTTAGAGAATGATACATCAATACATATTTTAGTGGTACGTATGTTCTAGCCTTCAGCCATTTTGTCAAGAACAAGAAGAGGTGCAAGAATTCTGGTCTTATTGGTTTCTACAATGCAACCATTTAATACCATTTCATCCAAAATTATGTGTACTCTATCTAATTTGAACATGATCTGTATACATACCAAGTTAAGGATAATCTTATTAGTACAATCTATACAGCCACAAACCTCTAACGTGAGACTTCTAGTAACTGCCAAAATTATTCTGACTCATATTTCATATACAAATACAATTACTGTATAAAAACAGGTGAATTAAAAGTGCTCTGGAAAGGAAGAAATCTAATGCATATTCTAGTCTTGCATTATTCTAGTAACTTGCATTTAGAGCCATTTTAAAGTTAGCATGCAATAACTTATTTTATGTACAGTACTTAACTGGCCTTCATATTTGCTTAACCCAATTCATTCTTTTGGAAGTCATTAATTCATGGAGTTGCATGCCACTTCATAATATAAGGATAAGACATTTTAGTTTCCAACACACACATTTTGTCGTATGATAAGCCTACAATATAGACATTTTGTCACTTTGTCATAAACAATGTCTCCATGTGTCAGCTACCTGCCCTGCTCATTTAACAAAACAAGACAGGACAAAAAGCAGTGCCTCCAAAAAGGTGTTCCCCCCCTTCCTCTTCCTTCCTCCCAACCAAGCTGTATATAAAATATTGGGACAACAAACAGCAGTACCCGGCCCTTTTTCAACAAAGCATGACACAGAGAAGTTGTCAGTAAAGTGGCCCCACTGAGAGGGGTCAGTTGAAATCTCATTGGGATCACATAATAAAAGTGTAAATGAAACCCTGATCCTAATCAGTATCCCAGTGTTTACCCCTCAATATAGTGGGAGTTCTCCTTGCAGTCAGAACAATTCACATAACTCACTCAAGGCAAGCTTTAAAAACCGAGCAACTGGTGCGTGTGAGTTAATAAGGTTATTGCTTAAAATGCTAGAAAAAGTGCATTGGTCAAGTGGAAAGCTGCCCATTTAGGAGCTCTTCATTTCACAATGCTGTTAAACAAATTGTTGCATAGAATATTGGTGACAAGTTAAATCATTCTCATGTTACACTTCTGTTATGCGCATGTTTCTATTTTTAATAATGGTAGTGATCTGCTCTGGGTGCTGTTCAGAGAAAATCATGTCCTCCTGTACTCACAAATATTTCCACAGACCTGTTTGTCTTCAAAGCTCTCCAAAGTGGTAAGAGCTAGAAACATGAAATTTGGCACAAATACCATTGACTTCACAATGTAAATAACTGAGGAGGTTACATCTCCGAATCAGTTTCCCCCAAGCTTATTTTCTTTACTTGTCCTGAAAACCCTTCAAAATGTTAAAAGCTATAAACAGTATTTTGCATGGATGCTTCTGAGATCACCACTTAAAGTAATTGGTTATGCTGTATCTCAAAGGGGAGTCCATCAGAGGCCCAGTGCTGCCCACTAAAATGTAGTTTTTACAACTCTGCTCCTGGGCATTTGCTGGTGCCTTCTGTTAAACTGGTGCATACTGAATCAATACTGGGGTACAGAAAGAGTGAGACCAGTGTGAACGAACGTGAGGCAGGAGATAAAGAGAAATGGCACGGGGGTGGCAGGGAGGTGGGAGACTTACAGGTTTTTAACTTGTGTGAACCTGAAAAAGCACACTGAGGCAAGGGAGTGGAAAAGAATGGTTTCTCAAATGGGCTGAACACCTTAGTTTTATAATATTTTAAAAAGAATTATCCCACTAGTGTTATAATGGGCATATCCCTGACAGCAAATCAATATGAAATTAAATGAGTAATTCCTTAACACCCCCTTCTCCGCTTTCCCCAGAACACAATAGTCCCCAGGATTCTCCAGGAAGGACGAATATGGAAATTTAATTGCATGTGGAAATGAGGTGGCATCAGTGCTGGGAAAAAAACTCTCTTCCAATATTATATGCTCAGCTAATGATGTATAATCTAGCTTTTAGTCAAACTTTATCTTTCCAGGCATGTATTAACTTGAGAACAGCTCTATCACTAAATCATCACAAGCACTTGAGAAGCTACCCTTATATAGAACTACTGAAGGCGTTTTCTTTATACAGTAAATCAGCACTTGCACAGCAAACAATGCTTTGTGTCACAAGAAACCAGTTTTATAAAGATAAAATCTTTTCACTATTCGCAACCTGCTTGTTTCACAGATAGCATACATGGTCTATAAACTGCTTCTGACTGTAGAACTATCTTGCCACTTTTAAATGTTCAATTAACGAATCTGCATAACAAGCAAGAACTACATTTCAAAAATCTGATGTTATGTCTTCTTGGTTCAGAATCTGATGCAATGTACATTCCAACTTACAGTTCAATGTTTAAAAAAGCTTTTGTGTGGGCAGATAGAGGCTGATATTATAACAGGAAGCTCAACCAGATCTGTTCTATCTCCCAGTGAGATATGAGCTAGCCACTCCCTGTTAAGGCAGCATTCCCCAACCAGCTACTCTGCATTCCACCGGCAAGGACTTCATGTGCTATTCAGAATCAAGTGCCTGTAGCTCATAGGCAATCCCTTCCCTTTGAGTTCATTCCTTCCTCATTGGCCTGTTTTGCTGTTGGCCAATGTTCAGAGCAGTTGCCAAGCCCTTCTGGGGGCTGTGCCCCCTCCCAAAAGCTTTGTGGTTACATAATTCCACTCCTCAGCAGACAACAGCTGCCCAACCTTAACTTTTAAAAGAAGCAAAACTCTTGCTGATTTTGGACAGAATTTTATAAAGCAATTAAATAGTCAGGGATAATTAACTAGGGATCTGGGCATATATATCTGTTAAGTTTAGATAGCCATACATTGAACACATAAGAACTGACTGTATTAAATTACATGCAGAGTACTTTACACGAACCCTTTAACTTTTTGATGACCCAGGTTAATTGTTTCCACTGGTATACAGTGCTATTTGGTGGATGGAATGACAGACTAGGACTCGGTGGACCTGGGTTCAAATCCCCATCTCATCACGCAAACTCCCTGAGGGGTGGTACTGTAATGGTAAAACCACTCTTCATATATATCAAACACCTTAGAATTCCCGTATGTTGGATGTGACTTGACCATACACAACAATGCTTCTTTTTTGACACTAGGAAGCTTAAGGTTATGTGATCAAATCTCATACAGTGATTCATTTATTCATTTAAAAGATTCATTTCGGAACTGGCAAAGGGCTGGTGTATCTTTCAACTCTATACGTTTTTTGATTCAAGATATATATGCCTAATATCACATAATGTTTATTTCTAGTTCTGAATAAAGTAGCCTTTCAGCCCCAGTATATGGCATGGTTATTTCAGTCCCTAAAACCATTTGCTTTAGACCATACCTCTGAAATATTTGCACCTGGAGAAGCTGTATTAGAAATGTTACAGAACTGTGATAACGACATAATCTTGTATTCATATTGGGGTTTGGTTCTGATTTATTATTCTAAACTAATTGAAAGTTGGCTTCCAAAGCTAAATGCTGTACCTTGTTTGGGAATAGATGAACACTTAACATCCTTATGAAATTTATAATGCGGTCCTAGCATGGTCCATGGGTCCTACTTCCACATAAATGTGCATGACTGCAGATTAGGCAGAAATCCATATTTGCTCCATCAACATATTTTCTGTTTCACTTTCATTAGAAAAAGTGTTTGTTGTCTCTGGGACTTATACAAATTGATGAATTCTTCATGGACTATTCAGAATCTAGAGGTGAACACACTTTATCTCAGTAAAAACCAAGCCTACTTGTACTGCATACGACTGGAAGTGGCCTTCTGCCTTTCCTCTATTTGTCCCCTCACTGGAGCTTCATCAGGAACATTCCCAATTCTTTCTTAAGTCGAAGATTAATCACAGTTTTTACCTTTTGCTTTGAGTTCTGTTTTGTTCTCCTCCAAAGTCAACATGTGTATGTCTGCTACTCTGGTCCAAGAAAAGTGAGTTCATCACAGCCCATTCAAATGAGCCACTGTCAGTACTGGTCTTCTCTACCAGCTAGCCAGGCAAGTAATACAAGCTATTTGTGATCATTCAACATTCAATTAGAAGTGTTGTCACATCTGCTGCATTCTTCATGCCATACTGCTTTGACATCTGCAGGATGTCTACATGATCACAGATATCTCTCTTTGTCCAGAATTACAGACTGGACATCAGAGCAAAGATAGATGCCACATTTAGAAGTACGGTACTGTATTGTCTTTGTGATTCGCACCGTTTTTTACTCCCCATCTGTGTGACTCACACAGATGGAGGATTAATAAACTGCATGAGTCACAAAGAGCACAAAGAACAAGTTGCTTCCTGGTAAGTACGATTCTCCAAGTGGTCATCTGTGAATTCACACATCCCATCCTCCTATCCTCTAATATTCACACTTTCCCACTGTTATCTGCAGTGGGCGTGAAAGTGAGAAAACCGTGGGAACCCATGCTACTTAGGTGCAGTATTTAGGAACAGGTTGCCTGGCAAAATACATCTTGATGGGCACTAAAGGTAAAGGTTCCCCTTGACAATTTTTGTCCAGTCGTGTTCGACTCTAGGGGGCGGTGCTCATCCCCGTTTCCAAGCCATAGAGCCAACGTTTTGTCCGAAGACAATTTTCCATGGTCACATGGCCAGTGCAACTTAGACATGGAACGCGGTTACCTTCCCACCGAAGTGTTCCCTATTTATCTACTTGCATTTGCAAGCTTTCGAACCGCTAGGTTGGCGGGAGCTGGGTCAAGCGACAGGGGCTCACTCCGTCGCGTGGATTCGATCTTACGACAGCTTGGTCTTCTGACCCTGCAGCACAGGCTTCTGCGGTTTAGCCCACAGCGCCACCACGTCCCTCTTTGATGGGCACTAGCAGATACCAAACATTGCACACTGCTTACCTACTCTATCTGTATGAGTTCAGATGACCACGAGAAGAATGTTACAGATAAGCAACCTGCTCTTCTTTTGCTTCTTACATACGTAGCTTCACTCTCCTTACAAAGAAGAATTCCTGTACAGTAGAGAACCAATTTACACTATTATAATTCATCTCATTTTTAAAAACTCCCACTCAAGATGATGGCTTTGCTGTATTAAACTGCT